CTTGTTCATACTGTAGAGGTAATATTTTCAGACCAAATATCCTGGATATTTGCCAGAGGTTGCTATGTTTATTTCTTTATTTGAATATTGGTCACGATTGGTAAAAAACTAGACCACAGAGCCAAAAAATGGGATATAATCTTGATAATGCTATAAATGTATTATTTCAAACCAAATATCCTGGACATTTGTCAGCAACGTTGTTAAAATGATTTCAAGCTTTAAATGTGGGTAATCTGGGTCAAACTAGTTGACACAGCCATGATAAGGTAAAACTTTGTTTTAATTAGGACTTTTTCAGATGCCGATATGAACATTATGATATCAGTTTAAGATTTAAACATTTTATCTGCTTTTCATCTAGGACAAGAATATTTTTTTTGGCCCAATTTTCATTCATAGAGTAATTGTTCCATAAAGTGCCTTAATTATCAGGCGATGATGTCAGTGACATGTTTTATTTCATATGTTCATATTATAGTACGTGAAAAAAATCATTACTTGAAAATATGCTACAGTTTGAGTACAAGTACATTGTTGAAAACACCAATTATTGGTCTTTAAATGATAAAAAATCAAAGGAAAACGTACAAATAATATTATACCCAGACATTCAGAAGCAGAAAATATTATGCCTAAAAGTAATAAAAAAAATCAAAATGCTATAATTACAAATATTTTTTTCTTTTTTTATTACCTCCTTTAACATTAATAATATGAAAACCCACACAGTAATTCACGATATGTTCAATGTTTTTAAAGTCAACAAAATGAATCGGATGCTACATGCTAAATATCTATAATCTGCACATTGTAGTTTGGAACAAAAACTTTCAAGACATTTATATTACATTAATATGTGTACATGAAAATTGTGCGAAACAGCCCCACCCTCACAAGTGAAATAGTTTGGAGTTGATTCATGATACATGACAAAAAGCTAAAGTCTGGGCATTGTAGATTAACATAAAAATACACTCTTGTAAATAAATTTCCTTTCTAAGTGACCCCTTTGGCAGAGATAATATTGACCCCAGGAGCATTTATATATAATAATTTGTCATTTTGCACAAGACTTAAATCAAAATCAATAATACAATTAATGCATAAACAATCTTCAATACTATAATAATGACATAGATAGATATGAAAGTTTGCATTATTATATACAACGTACATGTATATAACCAATATAAATAGCAGATGGACAAATCTATTATCTGTAAATAAGAATTCAATCATTTCATTCATGAATTCGTAACATTCAGATATAAACATGACATCAAGATACACATAATAAAAATAATGATAATAATACTACTACTAATAATAATAATAATGGTTATTATTTTTTATTGTTATTTTCATTATGACCATTTTTATTTTTATACAATGAGCAAAGATAATGAATATAATATTGTCTATCTATATTAGGCAAATTAAATAAAATTATATTTATTCATTATGAAAGGACAGCTGCTGTAATCTAAAAACAAAAACAAACAAAGAAAAAAAACAACAACAAAAAACCCTGCTGTAAGATGATCTCGTGATTTGGAAAATAATGGTATTGCCAAAAATATAAAACTATCAGATGCATAATTCATTTAAGCAAACAATGATATATAAACCAGTGCTGGTATGTTTGATTGAAGATACGAACATTCGTTTGATTATCACGGCATTTCGTCTAAAGTATGATTATTAATTAGTCGCGGTTTAATTTTTTTTAATTTCGCTCAATCGGAACTAAATTATTTATCTTTCTGTCTTCAAAAACTAAGAAAATGAAATATGTAGCATTCGTCTTACACGTGACATTTTTTTTAACATCCCATATATAAACATATGCATTAATACAGTATAAAACTATTGTACATGTAACGTTCGTCTCTGATATGATCCAATAACATTATTATGATAATTAACCTGAAAATGTACAAAATAAGATATTCTGTTATAATGTTATTCAAAAGGTAACCTATCTTATTTGATTTTGTTTTATATTTTATAAAATCTTTAAGAAAAATCATTAGGAATGGACAAAGATTATAAAACGTGTTTGACTATGTAATGCAATGTGAAAACCTCAAATAACAAACTATATGAACACAGCATGTAAACTTGATGATGTGTAGAAACTAGAATAAAATCAATTCAAACAAACATTAAACTTCAATCCAAAAATGTATTTGCAACACTTTACTACGAAAACTTCGATGATGTATTTGCGTTCAGTTATGTCTATAGATTATATAGTGAACATTAAAAATTTTCTCCTGTAAAAACGGTAAGTCCAAATTCAACCAAACTTGGCAGGATTATTCCCTGGGTAAAGGACTTAAGTAAGTAAAGTTGTTCAAAGAATTTGATTCAATGCAGGAATCTGGTTGCCAAAAGAAATTATAGGAAAACAAAAGAAAGCTTTGACATAAAATCCACAATATATGCCAAAATACCGGATATATTGTCCCCCGACCGTCTTTAATAAATATCACCGCCTTTGATAACTATCATTCCTGAAATTTCATTTAAATTTCATAAGAAGTGCAGGAGAAATAGTGTAAACAAATTGTACTTAAAAATTCATCATCAAGGACCCATAACTGTGCAAAAAACCTGCACAAAATTATGGTGACAAACAATCCTGTGAAGTTTCTGTGAAATCCCTAGTGGTTTTGGAAATGTAGTCATAACTTTACCAAACACAACAATTCAAGCAGAAAATCAAGAGACTATGCACAACTAGGCTTGGTTATAACAATTCTGTGAAGTTTCACTGAAATACCACCCCCACAGTTTTGGTGATGTAAAGCGGGCAAGCTTATTTTACTCGAAAATTAAACATTAGGGGGTGATAACTGTGCCAAAAAAATCAAGCAGGAAATCAGAAACTTCGCACAACTAAGCATGGTGACAAACAATCCTCCAGCGGTTTTGGAATGTAGCGTGGACAAGCTTATTTTATTTAAAAAAAATAAACCATTAAGGGGCGGGCCTTAATTGTGCCAAAAATTAAGCAGAATATCAAGAGAGTATGCACAACTAGGCTAAGTGACAAATAATCCTGTGAAGTTTTATTGAAATCCTCCCAGCGTTTTAAGTGATGATGGGCGGATAAGCTTATTTCACTCGAAAATTGACCATTAAGCGAGGACAATATTACCAGACGGACGTACCGACGAGCGGTCGGACATTGCGATTACTAAATGTCGCCCTTCTGGGGCTTAAAAAATCTTCTTCTAAAGACTCACAAAGCCCAGATTTAAGATATTTTGCATAAGGCATTGTCTATTGGACACCTTCCAAAAATTTTCAAATTATATACCTGGGGTCAAAATTGGTCCCCCAGGGGTCATTGATTTTCATTATGTACATACAGTTAAAACTTTAAAAAAAATCTTCCTGAGTAAAGGTACAAGGCTTAGAATGTTGGTATTTGGTATATAAAATCATTTATAGGTCCTCTACCAAAATTGTTCAAATATTGCCCAAAGTATGATAATTGGCACCGTCTCGGGTGTCATACGTTTTCCTGATATGTATACGGTAAAAAAATCTTCTTCTCTGATTTGACAAAGGCTAGAGGTAAGGTATTTAGCATAAAGCATTGTGTAGTAGACCAATATCAAAATTATTATTATTACCATATCATATTACCAATTATAGCCTTTGAGGGTCATGTACATATAGTAAAAGCTTAAAAAATCTTCTTGTCTTGGGGAACAAGACTTAGACCTTTAACCCATTACCAGATATATCTTTTCACCCCTTTTTGTTGTCTCAAATTGTGAATAAAATGCCTTATTTAGGCAACCAACACTTTTTTGTTGTTTGAGAAATGTTGTTAAAAAAGTGACCACTTTATCGGCGCCGCCCTCAATCCAAAAGATACATTAGGGGGTTGTCAGAAGGGGGGTGTGTCCCTTCTGTTTGGGCGTTTGAAGGGGCGGTAGCCCCCCTCATCGCCAAGAAATTTTTGAACTGATGAGAAACTAAAAAGGACCCCAGGGTGATCATAAGGTAACGTGTAACCAACGCTGAAAAGCCTTTGACGCTAGATCAATCCATTGAGAAGTTGCAGGTCTTTTAATTCAATTTTGATGGAAAAATCAACGCAAAATAATGATTTATGGCAATTTTGAGATATCCAATCGTTGCCATGAAAACAGGAAATTTAAATCTGAGCACGGGTTACAAAGGACATGATCCAGTCAACATTTGTGCCAAGTTTGATTGAAGCAGTTTTTATATTTTTAGAGCAATTTGAACTTGTAACGGGAGACTTTCACAAAATGCTATTGCAGTAATGGGTTAATATTTGGTATATTATAATATTAAATATGTCCTCTTACAAAGTTGTTCAAATTTCGCCCCTAGTGTCAAAATTGGCACCGCCCCGGTGTGTCATAGGTTTTCCTCATACGTATATAGTAAACATTTAAACAAGGGGGCCATTGGACCAAAACCACTCACCTGAAAACATTCTGTTATTTGAGTAAAGGCCAATTTTGACACTAGGGGAAACTTTGAACACTTTTAGAGGAGAAGATATGATATTAAAGCTCTAAGCCTTGTACCTTCAGGAAAGAAGATTTTTCTCAAAAGATTTTTCACTAAGTACAAAATGAAAATAAATCATCCCCGGGCGGGGCCACTTTTTACTCATTAATATATCTTGATATAGGTCCACTACACAATGTCTTATGCCAAATAGCTAAATATCTAACTTCAATCCTCTGTCAATTCTGAGAAGAAGAATTTAAGTTTTTGGGGCCAATTGTGGTATCAGGGCAAACTTTGAACAACTTTGGTGAAGATTTTTGTACCTTCTGAAAAGAAGAAATTTTAAGTTTTTACTATAAGTACAAAATGAAAATTAGTCACCTACCTCCCGCCCCCTCTCGGCCGGGACCAATTTTGACCCAGGGCTTTAATTTGAACAATTTTTGTAGGGGTCCACTTAATAATGTTTCATGCCAAATATCTAAACTTTAGCCTTTGTCAGTTTTGTGGAGTAGATTTTTTTATGTTTTTACTATAATATTATATACATATAAGAAAATCTATGACCCCTGGGGGCGGGGCCAATTTTGACCTCAGGGCTATAATTTGAACAATTATCTTTACTACTTGATGATTCCTGCCAAATATCTGACCTCTAACATTTGTCAATTCAGATGAGACAATTTTTATTTTTTTGAATATACATGTATGTATATAAGGGAAAACCTATGATTACCCGGGGTGGGGCCAATTTTGACACTATGGGCAACATTTTAACAACTTGGTAGGGGATGTAGAGACTATATTATATACCAATTATGGTAGCTCAAGGCCTTGTACCTTTAGACAAGAAGGTTTGTTGTTTTTTTTTAAATTTCTTTCAACTTTATACTTTTAAGGGAAACATATGACCGCCGGTTAGGGAACAATTTTGAGCCCAGAGCTTTAATATGTACAATCTTGTTAGAGGTCCACGACACAATGTTTCAAACCAAATAATTAAACTCTAGCCTTTGTCAATTACGGGGAGATTTTTAAGTTTTTACTATATACATATGGGGAAAACCCATGCTCCCCCCGGACGTTTTGAACATTTTTGGTAGTGGATCTATAAATGCTACTATATACTATATATCTAAGCTATGAGCCTTGTACCTTCAAACAAAAAGATATTTTAAGTTTTTAATATATACAAGGAAAACATATGACCCCGAGGTGGTTCCAATTTTAACACTAGGGACATAATTTTAAAACCTTTGGTAGAGTACCTACAGATAATATCATATACCAAAAATCAAAGCTCTGGGCCATATATATTTGATGTAGAAGATTATTTAAATCTGCATTTTTGAAACTTTTTTTCTGGCCCCGTGACCTTCTTATGAAACAGACCGAAACCATTTGAACACTTTTGAAAAGGTACTACACAGGGATCATTCCTGCAGCCATTGGTTTCAGAGAAGATGCTGTTTAAAGTAACTGTTGATGATGCAGGAAGCACAACGCACGGCGACGACGGACGACGGACGGTGGGGGGAATAGCTCACGGTCAGCACGTTGTGCTCAGGCGGGTTGAACATTTTCTTCTCTGAATTGACAAAGGCTAGAGGTGAGATATTTTGAACGAAACGTTGTGTAATGTTTTAAACCGACGGCAAAATATTTTCACATATGTATAAAATAAAGCTTTTATTTATTACTAAAAGAAAAAAAACCCTGAAAAGTAATATCTTAAATCTTTAAAAGTTAAAAAAGAGGACATGCATGCAATACCCATTGTCTATCTCCAAATGGTTAATCCTACTAAGAGAAAACAATTGGTTTCATGCAAGTAAGAAGAAAAAAGAGATGTCAATAAGCGTACTAGACTATTCTCAGTACTTGCCTTGAATTCGTTACGTGTTTTTTGTTATATATCGACGGAACAAAAAGTTGCTGTCAATATGGTAGACATGTCGTTATTTTCAGGAATAATTTTGAAAAAAAAAGTTCTTATGTGTTTGGAATTTACATTGCAGCCGTATGCACTATTTGATTTTTGTCATTTTAATTTGCTAAATGGTTTTGTCTGTTTACAGGCCGCGTTGTATACAATTACTCGTAAATGCCAATTAGATTTGTGCACTAAGGTGTTACCTTTGCACGTTTCCTGCGTTATTTTCACATCCCTAGGTAACGGATTATACACTATGATTTTTTTTTAAAATTTACAGCATTGATATAATTTATATTTCAGGAGTATACATTTATACCAGACGATATAGAACAAGGACTAATTGCCGCTTTCGGAGACGACTTTGAATCATGTTCAAGGGCTCTTTTCTTTTTGTCCGAAAGTATAGCTGGAAAGTGTGCCAAGCCATTTATTAGGACACTTGAAAATGTGTTGTCTAATGCGATGCTTTTCAAGACAGTGGCAGAGAGGATGGTAAAAGACACAAAGACTGTGGAAAAAGACTCAAAATTTCGACAAGTAATGTATGATATTTGGAATAATGAATTGAAAGATTTGGTAAATAAACATCCTGACGGTGGATCAGAATTGGCTTTGGCAATCCAGAACAAACTAATAACAAGTCAGTATAAGGTTCTGACTTATTGTTTTTTGAGAGCAGTTTCACATTTTCCTCATGGAGTTGTAGGAATGATAGCAAATATACCGGAAGGAATGGGTAGACAAGTAGCTGTGATTGGAGGATTAAATCTTGTTGTTGCCGTACCGCTTGGGCCTGTTGTTACGGTTGCCCTTGCGGGAGTGTTTCTCGCATGGGAAGTTATCATGAATATTAACCGATGGTGGAATGGGGAAATAACTGGCAAACGATGTGTAAAGAATATAATAGATTGTGGAGTCGGTGTAGCTGCAGGCATTGTTGGTGGATGGACGGGACAAGCGATCGGTGGTTTTATAGGCTCGGTTCTTGGCCCGATAGGAACGACCTGTGGTATGGTTGTTGGTGGCGTCGTATGTGGGATTTTGGCTCAAATCAAAGCTACACAACTGTGTGATCTCCTGACACAGAATTTCTTTGGCCTGCCTAAATCTGAGGCATTAGAAAATGCATATAGCTTCCTCGATATATCATTCAACGCTTCAAATGGCGATGTTAATTCACGGTACAGACATTTAGCTCTACAGTTCCACCCGGACAAAGGCGGTGACCCTGAGATGTGGGCCAAACTACAATATTCAATGGCCATCATAAGAAAGGCAAGAGGAGAACCATAAATTGGTTCGAATCATTGTAATACAATATTTATGTGTACACACAGCTAAAATGACTGCAAAACTGGTTTAGCATCTGTATTTATGTTAAAAATTTAATTTTGGTCATAGTTCGTTTTTTTCTTTTGGTGCTGTGTAAATGTATATATCATTTGTATATCGATGATAATGTGTATTTTGAAAAGAAACTTATTGCTGAATCATTTAACAAATTTTATACAACAGTTGCATGTAAACTTGTTGAAAAGTTGCCAGAAAGTATGCATAAATTTGGTACGAATTTTGTTAATACTTTTTATGCAAACAAGGGTGTTACAGTTTTTCTTTTTCCATTGTTTCTGAAAGTAAAGTTCTTAAATACTTAACTTCATTAGGTGTCAAAAAAAGCTACTGGCTTAGATGGTATACCCTCAAGTTTTATCAGAGATGGATCCCCAGTTATTGCTAGTCCATTAGCTCATATCATAAACTTATCCCTTAACCAAGGTCAAGTCCCTGATGATCTTAAATCTGCAAGAGTTGTTCCCTTCTATAAAAGGAACGACAAATAAATTGTCTGTTGGTAATTACCGGCCTGTGTCCATTTTAAATGTTGTATCTAAAATCCTTGAAAAGGTGGTTTATTACCAGGTTGAAGCTTATTTTAAGGATAAAGATCTGCTGTATAAATTTCAATCAGGTTTCAGGAGTGGCTTCTCTACTGATACTTGTCTGATTCACCTTACAGACTTTATCAGGTATGAAAATGATAAAGGTAATGTTGTTGGTATGGTGCTGCTGGATTTGCAGAAAGTGTTTGACACAGTCGACCATTCCATTCTTTTAATGAAACTGCAAGCATCAGGTCTTAGTATTGACGTCCTAAATTGGTTCAAATCATATTTATCAGATAGACAGCAGCTTAATTGTAGATGTCTCTGGTACTTATTCTTCCAATTCCAAAATAACATGTGGTGTTCCTCAGGGCTCAATCCTTGGACCCCTTCTCTTTTTAATTTATGTAAATGATATGTCAGCTGTGGTCAAAAATAAATTGATTTTGTATGCTGATGATTCTGGTATCCTTGTATCTGGTAAAAGTTTATCTGTTGTTGAAAAGGCATTGACAGATGATATTGAATAGGTCAGCCAAAGGTCAGTAGACAATAAGTTGTCATTGCACTTGGGTAAAACCGAGTCAATTTTATTTGGGTCCAGGCAAAAGCTTAGGTCACAATCTAACCTGCATATAACCTGTTCTGGTACATCCATTGAATCAACTTCATCTATCAAGTATCTTGGGATTACTATAGACCAAAATCTGTCATTTTGCGCCATGGCCGAGTCTGTTCTTAAGAAGGCCAACTCTCGGTTAAAATTTCTTTACCGCAAGAAAGAGTTTCTTACTCAGCATACCAAGAAACTTCTGGTTATGTCTCTTATTCAGTGTCACTATGATTACACATGCTCTGTTTGGTATAATAGCTTGACACAGTCTTTAAAAAATAAGTTACAAACTTGTCAAAACAAAATAATGAGATTTGTACTTGACTTGGACTCCAGAGCCCATATTGACCCATCCCACTTTATGTCCCTTAACTGGTTACCGGTCCACAAAAGAGTTGATCAGATAATGTTGTGTCATGTTTTAAGAGAAAAAATGGCCTATCTCCGGGTTACATGTGTGAACACTTTATTAAATAAGTTTATTTCCCAAGATTCCATACATAATTATAGTACAAGACTTAGTCAAAAGGGTGGGTATTGTCTACCTTAGGTCAAAGGCTAGGGTTCTAAATCCTTTGCTTTCTCTGGTATTAAATAATGGAATGATTTACCTGTAGAGTTAACGGAGATCAACAGGTTACAAAGTTTTAAGGTTGCCATCAAAAGTCATCTTATGAACAGTATTTAATTTTTTTTACCATGTTTCGGCTCAGGATTTTAAATTGTCTGCTATTTATCTTTTTACAATTTTAGTAATGTGTTTTAAATCCTAGCTGTAAACAGGAGTATCATTAACTCAAGATTTGACTGTGATATACATTTTTATGATTTATTAGTATTTTTAAACATGATTATATTTAGGTTTGCCTCTCTATGTCATGCCGCCAATACAAAGGACCACAATGGAAATAAGAGCTTTTTTTGCCCTTTTTTGTGTTATCCTTGGTTTTGATGAGCATGTCATAGTTTTCTCGTACGTGATATAGTATTTAATAATGCTCATTATTTTATCCTATGTTATATTGTCAACTATGTATATGCTTCCTTTGCCGTAATAAATCTATCTATCTATCTTTGCATGAACATTCAAGCCAGAATAACTTTAAGTAGATATTTTTGTTTTTCAATAATCAGTAAAATATATAAACCTGAAGGTTCTCCCCCATCAAAAGAATCGTTTAAGTAATAATATCGGTCTCAGTGGTGTTTGTCAGCTATTTAACATCGGTTAGAAGTTTTGATGCGAAATGAATTGACCAAGAGGGTTGAAAGTTTTCGAAAGTCGATCAACACCTATTAATAATAGAGAGATCTATAATGCTATTTTTCAAGCAGAGATTACTTTAGGTGTCAATTTTATATAAGGCTGTCATATTTCGCGTCCTACTGTCGCTAAGATATATAAATCATTAAACTTAAGAAATAATAAGAAAAAATGATATTTTATGAAGTTTAAACAATTTAACGTGTCATATGGATTGTATTGTGTTTACATCAGTGCTCAAATAATCATTCTCACTAACCGTAGTTAAAAATCTGTAAATATTACTAAAATTACGGCGTACCAAATTGTCTAATCTCACACTCCGCGTGCCACACTTCTTTAAATTACCAATTTTACTTGACCAGTAAATGGGAATGAAGCTTCACATTTTGCATATCATTTTTAAAATAAGACATTTTCAGTAGGAATTTTCATAGAAGTCAAGATATTTCTGCAATATTTCTCGAAGATGAAAATTAAAAAAAATCTGAAATAAAATGAATCGCTGAATCTCTTAAAAATACAACGTGTCACTTTAATTACAATGACAATGACAACATTTATTTGCTTTTTGCCCTCTAGCCGATGCAAAAATATAATACACAACATATTTATATAGCATAGTAAGTGCATAACAATTAACATACATGTATTAACCATTTTACAACAAATTATTATTAATATTGTTATTTATAGATATATTGTTACAACATTTATCACATTTTATATTTTGCAGATATTGTTTTCTTTTTTCACGCATAATACAAAAACAGCGAAAGATTTAAAAAGATATTCATTTTTGTTGACATAATTATGATAAACTTATTCAAGTTTGGTTGTATGTAATATTTCTTTGGCAGGTAATTATTGCGCAGATCATCATAACAGTCATATATGAGTGAGAAATGATATTGATTTTCAACACTGTTTTTATCACACATTTTGCAAATTCGTTCATTTCTTGGGGTTTGTTCGTATCTTACCCTTTTTACTTCAATATTCAGACTGCCAATTCTAAAGTTTGTGTATACGAATCGATTTTTTTTTTCAAATCCAAAACATTTAAATAATGTTCTGAAGAATAGCCATTTTTAAACAATTTGTTACTTTCTAACTTAGAATTATCGTCAGCATTCATATTCCTCTCTTAAAGGTTTATAAAGTTCACTATATTTACAACAAGAGCGATCAGTAATCACAGTGTCGCCTCATGATGGCCAATTTCATGTTGGGACAAATTTTGTGACAGACGGACAGACAGACGGACAGTGCACAAATAGACTTGGTACTGATCATTCCTGTAAAGTTTGGATAAAATTGCACCAGTAGTTTATGAGGAGTAGTCCGGACAAGCTTTTGTGTATCTGGCAACACACAGAAAAAAAACACCTTTTTATCAAAGGGCCATAACTCGGCAAAAAAGCATTCAACCGGAAAACCCGTGCAATATGCGCAAGGACTTGAGCTACAGATCAATCCTGTAAAGTTTCATTGAAATTGCATTAGTGGTATAAGAGAAGTAGTCCGGACAAACTTTAAAAATAAAAATTATTAAAGGGCCATAACTCTGACAAAAATCATTGGACCAAAAAATGCTGACAATATGCACAACTAGACTTGGTACAGATCATTTCTGTAAAATTTGGATGAAATTGCACCAGTAGTTTATGAGGAGTAGTCCGGACAAGCTTTTGTGTATCTGGCAACACACAGAAAAAACACCTTTTTATCAAAGGGCCATAACTCAGCCAAAAATCATTCAACCGGAAAACCCGTGCAATATGCGCAAGGACTTGAGCTACAGATCAATCCTGTAAAGTTTCATTGAAATTGCATTAGTGGTATAAGAGAAGTAGTCCGGACAAACTTAAAAATTATTAAAGGGCCATAACTCTGACAAAAATCATTGGACTGGAAAATGCTGACAATATGCACAACTAGACTTGGTACAGATCATTCCTGTAAAGTTTGGATGAAATTGCACCTGTAGTTTATGAGGAGTAGTCCGGACAAGTTTTGTGACGGACGGACGGACAGACAGACAGATAGACAGACAGACGGACAGACAGACAGACAGACGACGGAGAAGTGATCTCTTTATGTAGCCACTACTCCGTAGAGGCGACACAAAAACAATTAAAAATACATTTTCATTTTGTACACCTTGGTTAAGCCACACATAACCAAGTCCGTATCTTTTTAAACAGTTTTTCACTGATGTAACCCAATTGAAATAACCGTTTGAGACATCATTTAGCATCATTATGTAATATTTCTTTACAATTGTTTATAATTTTCAACCAATGTCTTATAGCTCTTTTTAAGTCTAGGCATATAGTGAATGCACAGCGCAGTCACCTAAAACAGCACAATTTGATGATTTTTGTTTAGCGCACATACACCGTTTACAAATATAATATTGTGCACCTTCAAGTTCATCAAATTTATTTAGACCCCAAATTTCAGATCCATATAATAGTTGAGGACAAATTTTATTATCAAAAATGTTAAAAAGACAGTATTTGTTAACTGGCCATGATGATACAATGAATTTAAAATAGATACCAATGCACGCTTTGCTTTTACACACAGTTGGCGATCGTGGACAATAGAATTCAGAGACAATTTTTGTGTCAGTTTTAAACCTTCGTAACAAAAAAAATGTTAACAACTTCTAATATTGTACTTCTATAAAACCATTTTTCATGTATTAAAAATCATTACTAGATAAACGCATGTGAATATTATAGTGTGACAAACAAAAATACTTGAAAAAATAGATGTTCAATATTTGACCATTCCACAATGTTACGCTTTGATGTGGTGACCAAGAATTTAGATATGTCACGTGTAGAAAAAATAACAACAACTTGTCATATTTAATGATAGCATGTATGAAGAAAAAGCCAGTGTCTCAATAATAAAAATAACTTTATAATATGTTATATTTCTAATACAAAATTATATCAAGTGAATTAATAGATTTTTTATGAAACTAGAATCTATGTATAGGTTATAGTTTATACATGTATATAAAAATTATATATTGGCTAATGCCGTCTTACACTTGATTTGTATATAATTAATAACTGACTTATACTCTGCCCCTTTTTTGTCGACCCATTTCATATAACTATTATCGGCGAGGTGCCCATAATGCATAGACCCCTGACCTGTCTAATTAGTGGATACAATACAACCTATTTGTTAACATGTCAATGTTTGTGGTTAAATCTAGTGTTATTCAAATAAAAGGTCCGAGTAGCACTCGATTAATAGGACCCCGAACATTTTTTAGAGTGAGTAAAGGATTTCTGTCGGGGAAAATCTCAATATGGATGCCTCACACATGAAATTCGATCGTGCTCAGAATCGGAAACAATTCTGCTAAATAACCACTACCAATAGTGGTTAAATTCCATGATTACTCAGATCAAGGACAAGTCCGTAAAGTTGGGTACGAAAAGCGACTTCACCTAAAGGAACGGCAGGTAGACGTCGGCACGCAACAACCGAAGCAAGTGCGAGATGCCAGAAAGGAGCTTTATCCTGTCAAAAAAAGCGGAAACAGATAAAGGAAACGACACAAAATTTATTGGAAGAAAGCTTTATATAAATGATCAGTTGTGTGTTGGTAAAACGGCTACGGCACAAAATCATTAGAAATGTCAAGGGAAGCAACTCAAATTACTTACATGGAATGTAAATTTATTTGTAAATAATGCTAATTGTTTGTCTTTATGTACTTATCATACTTTGTAAATGTTAGCAATTGTCCCTTTTTGTGTCATCATGCATTTTGCTACTGACTTAATATAAAGTTTATAGGAAACATTTTTATTTATCGGCACTAAAGATACAATTCTCTATAACTTTCAAGACACATTTCCGTAGTAATCTTAATCATTAACGCTGCACCAACACTCTTATTATGACTACCATTGATTCATTTTTTATTCATTTTTTTATAAGTTTCATTTTTAATGTACCTGCACACGGTATTTTCGTGGAGGATGTGACACATAAAACATATATATCCTCAGTTCTGTCTCTGATATCTTACTTATTAAATGTTGTTAGATACCATCCCCCATGATATCGTTTATGCATGCAAATAAGACAGTGTCACAGACAGAACTTGGAAGCAATGACAAATACACATTGGAAATCATCACCCTTTTTTACTCTGTACTTATACTTCCTCAATGGCTATCAGTAATATTACTTTGTGCTGGAGACATTCATCCTAATCCTGGTCCATCTGTTGAAAGCAACTCTAGCACCGACTCATCTTTTGCATCTTCTACTTCTGAGCTTATAAATAGTGGGTTAAGTATTATGTGTTTAAATATTCAGAGTCTTAGACCTAAGCTTGATATACTTGAACTCGAAACACAGCCATATGATATTCTTATTTTTACTGAAACCTGGCTGCGTCCTGAAGTGCATAACAATGACATTGAAATACCAAACTTCCAATGCCCGGTTCGTTGCGACAGAACAGACAGAGTCGGTGGTGGAGTAGCGATCTATGTCAGAGAGGGCTTAAGATTTCATACAAGATCTGATTTATCTGTTCATGGTATCGAATGTGTATGGGTGGAACTTGATATAAACAGTCGTAAACTTCTTCTAGGTGGTATTTATAGACCCCCAGACTCAAACAATCAGCATTGGCTTCTTCTTGAACAGTGTATAGATCAAGCATTTTCCGAGAGATCTGACAATATCCTGATTGCTGGCGATTTCAACATAAATCTTCTAAATTCTAATTCAAACAAATTGTCTAATCTTATAGCCTCTTACA